AAGGTGAAGGCCTTTTCCAGTGAGGCGCGATTGGAGATGACTTCATATTGTGGTGTACATGAATGTGATCGATGCTTATCAAGGAGAATCTTGGGTATCTTCGCCCTGGTACTCGTATCCATGTCTTCTCTCCAGGCTGCGTGAACTTTACTGATATGTGACTCGCCCAAAGTGTCTTTTTTAGTGGCTCCCCTGTATAGCGAAATTGAGATTTCAACGCAAACATCGAGTAGGGGTTAGTGGGGTGGGGGCTTATAACTGCACACTTTCTTATGAATGGTAAAGCTCAATCCTATATATGATGACCTCTCTCTACTGAGTTATCGGGCGCAATCTTCCCTTTCTCTTATGAACACTGCGGCGCAGTGAAACTTAGGGCTAAAGAATCCAACGAGTGCGGAATTCGTGCCATATGCACTCGTAGCTGTGGAGTTCGATAACTACCCCCTGCTCCGAAAGGGTTTCGTTAAATCATACGCTTTTTCCCTGACCGCTTCGCCTTCTAGTGGACGCATCAATGTGATAACGAGCCGTATTACGATAAGGAGTAAGAATGATAGTGAAAGTGAAGTTAGAGGGGAAGAAAGAGCCTACATGGTTTTCACCTTCTTCTAAAAGCTACAAACTTGGTGCGTTGGTTTGTCGGTAAGTATGTATACTCCAGTTCGCTGCGAACGGTTTGGTGTGTCACGCACTATGAGTGTGTCACGCCGTCATCATCATAATAGCCTCGTTTTTGATTTGAATCTCTTAGCAGCCAAGGAAAAACTTGTTGCAAAACTTAATTTCAAAGCGGCTGACTATGAAGTCATTACCAAATATCTTGCTGATATCGACTGGTATAGCTCATTTAGTTTTTTGCATTCTGTTGATGAGATGTACGAGCTTTTCTTTTCAATTCTGCACCACTGTGTGTCTATGTTTGTTCCTCTAACATATGTTCCCTCTTCCTATTCCCGCTTACCGCCCTACCTGCACCGTCTCTACCTTAAGAGGACCCGCGCTTGGGCTGCAGCCGCATCCAGTGACGATCCTAGTCTTCAGTACTATTACCGCAGGGTCAATGCTTTGTTCGAACGGAAGCTTTGGAAATACAATAATTCCGTTGAGAAGAAGGTAGTTGAGTCCAGAGATAAGCTCGCGTTCT